CAGGTGCTTTGAAAGCTGCTTCACTTTGTTTTGCAGTTTCTAAAACAAAACTTTGCTCAGAAGAAACTAAAATTTGAGGTAACTGCAAATGGGTGTGAGGGTGGGCGGGGTGCCCCTCTCCGTGTGTTGGGGGGGTGCTCCTCTCCATACCCATCTCCTCAGTGATTCTTAGAGCAGGCACCTACTACAGTTATTAAAAGTATTTTCCCAGTGCATGGGGGTGAAGGCAGATAAATGAAGTCATCTAAAAAGGAACCATTTTCCTGTATAAAAGATAATAAATCAAGACTCCCTTTGTTACCAGTTAAAATCTCTTGTGAAATCTGATCTGGATATGCTGCCAGTAATGTATATGCAGTGATGGCAGTTATATGACTCCAGAGTTAAAGTACAATGGGGGCATAATTAATGCTTCCTGATATCTAACCCTATTTTGACCTTTTTTTAGCTTCACATCTGTTTAACTTTAAGTAGATACAGAAATTCTGTTAAATCAGGGCTACTCAACACTTGGCCCTCAGGCTTCATGCTGCCCATGGTGCATTTTGGGTTTATAGTGCAGGTTAGGTTGATATGGACTGTTAAATTCTTGGACAGTTGTGAAGCCAAAACAAAAAAGTAGTTAATATAATGGCTTTCTATTCAGATGCTTTTTAGTAGTTAAATTCCTGGACTGTCATTGCTCATTAAAAGTGCTGTCATATGGGTGGAAATCAGATAAATATTGCATTGTATTAATATCAGCAGAACTGATTTAAATGGGGCCTGTGTGTTTTGTAGTCTTGCCTTAATTTTTGTATTCATGTCCACCAGTGTAAAAGAAGCTATTTGCATGCATATGCAATCACACTTAAGTTGCGGCCCTTGGCATATGCTGTGAGTATCACTGTGGCCCTTGAGGCTTCCAAAGTTGAGTAGCCCTGCTTTAAAGAGTGACAGACCACATGTTTATTGTATTGGAAATAAAGTACACTCTCAACAATACTTTTCTGATTCATGTTTTTGCTGGCCAGAAGAAGTAATAAAAGCAGTTTCAATAATTAATTTAATAAGCTAATAATGCCCTAATTGCTGTTGATACACAGGTCTGTTTTGCCCTTGCTTGGGTAGAGTTGTTTTTCTGCTTCTGGGCAGCTATTGCAATTACATTAATCATTGTTTCCACTTAGCCACTGAAATGTCTGATGAGGAAATCAAAGATAAGTCATTGGCTTCAGCTGCAGCCTGCTTGGAAGGAAAGGCACCTATGGAAAAAGCAGCAATTATTCACCAGCATATTGGTCGCAGAGAGATGACAGATATAATCATAGAGACCATAAAATCCAATCCAGGTACCTATTCCATAACGTTCAAAGGAGGATTTCAGACCTGTTTATTTCTCTGGTACATCTGTGTGGCTATGCTACACCTTGTTGCTTAAGTTGTGTCTCAGAAGTATGTATAACTGGGCTGACTTTCCCAACTGCTGGGCATGCAGGAATGTCCACTGACCAAAATCTACTGTGTAATAAATAAGGGCATGAAATATTAAACCAGCTTTTTTGGGGACAGTAGGCAAACCTATTTGGCATGGCAAGGCAAGCCAAGGCAAAGCAGGCCAGCCTCTTGGCAGTAAATGCAAAGAATACACCTGTTGTGCATGCGCCTCAGAATACCCTATCCTTGTGCTTACCAGTGTTCCCTATAGTCACTTGAGCGACTGCCTACTTGCTGCGATTAGTAGGCAGTACTGAAACTCTCAATTGTTTAATATAAAATTCTATAGCTTGGGGAAAATTTGACTTCAGAATAGAGGAAAAATATGAAAACTAGGTTGTGGTAAATTCTATATCAAAACAATTCTCAAGGAAAATTGTCCTGACGACATAGTTTTATTCTATAACATGTGGTGGGTGGGGGTATTTTTAGCTGCGCAAAGTCTTGTCTAATGCTGTTTTCTGTAGACATTGTCTAATTCTGTTTTGAGGGAAACTATTTGATGTCTGGCTCTGTTGTACATTAAGATGACGGTTACATTTTCTGTTGCGTGACATGTAATCTGAAAGCTTTTGATTTGAAAAAGATGAGACACAAGCTGCAATGGAAGGAAGAAAAACTCCAGAGGCTTCACCTGTTGATGATAAAAGTAAATGTGATGGGCAAACTAAAGAATGCGTTGAAGCTGCTCCAGACTCGCCATCTAAGCAACTTCCTGACCAGATTTCTTTCTTCAGTGGGAACCCATCAGTTGAAATAGTTCATGGCATTATGCACCTGTACAAAACAAAGTAAGACATGGTTAACTAATTATAAACTTAGTGGGAACAGTGCCACTGAATTAAGCTGCCATCCAGAAGGGTGAGCCAGTAACCATTGGAGCTGCTGCTCTTTGGACTGGCAGAGCAGTGACAGCCTGGTAGTGTAATATACTCGCATCCAGAAAAAATTGAAGTGCCATCTGAATTTTATAGCTGTAGTAATGGTAGAATCTGAGGCAGGTCCAGGACTTTCAGCCATGGGGTAAGGTCACTTCTGGTAGTGCTTGTTTGTGCCAAGGTTAGAAGCGAGTGGGGGGGGCGGGGCAGCGCAAAGGGCACAATTGCACAGGGGCCCAGTGGAATTAAAGGGAACTTGGGGCTGCCGCTCGGCAATCCTTACTTGAGGGGAGCTCAGATCCATTCAGCAGCCAGGTAGTGAGCCCCCAGAGATCCTGGCTGAATTAAGTCCCGGGTTCAGATCAGCAGAGGGGTGGTGGCAATGCAGGGGAAGAGCAGCAGGAACTCCCCGCTGCTTTAAGCTCTGATCAGGTCAGCAGAATGGGGTTGGTGGCAGCGCAGCCACCAGGAGGAGAGGGCAGGAGCTCCTTGCTGCTTTGAACCCTTGCCCAGATCTGTGGAGCAGCAAGGCTAGGAGAAGTGGGGAGGGGAGAGCTGGACTGGGAAGAGTGAGGAAGCCAAGCTCTGGAGGTAGAGCCACAGATGGGACTCCAAAGAGTAAGGGCTGGGGGCGGGGGGGGGAGAACCAGCCTGAGAAGGCAAAAGTGCAGAAAGATGCAGGCAGGAGTAGGAAGAGAAGCTGGCGGGGAGGCATAGGACTGTTGAGGGAGAGGGGGTTAGAGAGGAGAAGGGGGCACATCCAAGCAGGTGAGAAATGGGACAGTGGCCGACCAGAGGGTACTCTTGAGTGGCGGTGCTCTGCCACCAACCCTCTTTCTCTGGACAAGGAGAGGGCTGGCTTGTGCCCTGCCAAGGAAGGTGAAGGGTGTGGGGGGGAAGGGGGCTCTTTTTTGTGTTGTCCTGGGGCATGGAGTTCCTGTCAGCATACCTAGTTAGAAGTGATGAGAAATTAAAAATAGTGGCTGCCAAAGACTGGGTTTGAGAAGACTTTGTTGAAGGATATCCCAGGATTTAAATTGCTACAGCGAAAATAGGAAACCTGTTCATTCCAAATGTATTGGGTTTTTGTTTTTGAGAGAGCACTATTGTATACATTGGGAAGCAGAATGAAAATTTCAGTCTCAGTATTCATTGTGAAAGTTACCAGGACACAATGACATGTTGCATGCGTTTTCCATTTTTAGTGATAACAGTTGCTCACTTGTTCTTAGGAATGTTTTGAGCATTTGTGGTTTCAAGTTCCAACTACTTTCCTGGAACTACAGGTGTACCTTTAAAGGGCTCGTGTGTCTCTTCAGAGCTGCACATATGAACTGTTTGCTGAAGATGACAAAACTTGCCTGGACATATGTATACGTGTTACCACAACCTCTTAATTCTTAAATGCTTGCAAATAGCTACAAAGCAGTGAGGTTAGTGTTTAAAATAATGTTAATAGAACCATTTGAACCAAGAAGCACTGACTTATCTTTTGACATCTATGTAAAATGGTATTGTCTTATAATAGGATGTCTAACTTGACCTCAGCTTGACAGTCTAATTATTGTCTTCTTAGTAAGATGACTTCCTTAAAAGAAGATGTAAGGCGTAGTGCTATGCTGTGTATTCTCACAGTCCCTGCTACAATGACCAGTCATGACCTTATGAAGTTTGTGGCCTCATTCTATGAAGTAATAGAACATATGAAAATCATCAGAGATTCCACTCCAAATCAGTATATGGTGCTGATAAAGTTTAGTACACAGGTAAAACCTAAGATATGAGACTCCTGTGCCTTAGTAGGAAGTACTTTAGAATTGGCTTGCATACTGCTCTGTAGATACTATTTGAAGGTGTTATCCAGCTTTAGTAGTCTACTTTGTTGCCTGAAATCATACACAACTTATGCTCTTGTGTAAATTGAAATATCTTATTCATGCTTCCTTTAAAGTGTCTCTGGGGCTAACAGGCCTGGAATTAGGCCTGCATCTTGAATGGTTGCTATGCAAGCGTCTCTCTATCCTGACTTCATCACAGCAGACAGTGTTGTGAAATTGCTGGTGCTTCAAAAATGGTTGTACTTCTAGTAAATAGACAAGGATGGAGGAGAAGTGCATAGCATGCCTATAAAAATAATCTGATATTTTCATGATCACAGCAGAAAGAGCCTGATTAATGTGGCAGTAGTAGTTTAATATAAATTAAGAATTGAGAACACCCTTTAATACATCTAGTCCACTGTTCTCATGAGTGGGGTGTTTGTCAAGATCCACAGGACCCCTAAACATACACTGTCTATTAAGCTTTCCTTCTCTCAAAACTGGGTGAGGTGCACTAGTTGACCAAATACTGTAGTTCTCCTCCATGCCTGTCACATGGATAAAATCCCTATATGTATTGTGTACATGTTATAGATGTACCCAGAAAGGCAGAAAAACCCACTTGATATCAACTTGCTTTGTTTGCACTAGACGTTTTCTGAGCAACCTTGCACTAATTTAGCAGAAAGGTCTAGAATCAATTGACTTGGCAACTTCTCATTTGTCTATCAACCTGCTGATTTCTGCTTCAGTAGGCCCTCAGAGGCAATTGCTGCATGCAGCAAAAGCACATTTGAATTATACTACGTAATTTTGTTCTATGGAGCTGTATGACTTGTATATATGAAGTGACTTGAAATAGTCACATGGACAGACTGGAAAGAATACAGTGAACCCTCGTTTATCGCGGTAGATAGGTTCCAAACCCGACCGCGATAGTTGAAAATCCGCGAAGTAGGGACATGTATATTTAACATGTATACAGCGAGCCCTCGCTACTTCGCGGTTCGACCATCGCGGATTCACGTATATACATAATGTAATGAAAAAAGTCCGCGAAGTCGTGAATCCGCGATGGTCGAACCGCGAAGTAGCGAGGGCTCACTGTAACTTTATATTTTATCATTCATAGCACTGAGGGATAAAGAAATCTAGCTCACCTCACTTGATGTTAGGATCACTCACTGGAATATTTCAGCATGTTAAAATCTTAACACCCGCTGGTGTTGCCATTGAGAAAGTGGCTTAGCTAGTCATTCAAAGGCAGGTACAGTTTGGGGACTGAGGTCTCGGAGTGCCTCTTTCTACTCTGGCATTAGTGGCTCAAATGTCTGAGCTGCTTTTGAGTGAAATGAATTCAGTAGTTAAGTTACATGCCATCTTTTTCACTAAAATGACTGTTGTATGTTTTTGAATAGCACTATCTTCATCAAGCCTCTTCCTTCATCTTTTTGTAAAGATACAATATTTGCTTCCTACCTATTCTGAAATTGGGATCTGGGGACAAAACTGATGCTAGAGAGAGAAATTGTCTTTTGCTGTTGAATATTAAAATCTTAATAGCTGTCCTCAATGCACTTCAGTTTGTCCTGACAATTCAAGCAGAAAACTATTCTGCTGAAACCAATGTGGAAATGAAAGGTTCCTGACTAGCAGGAGAGAGTTTGAAATATCTTTATTTTTGGTAGCATAATGGTACTTTGAAAATCCTCTTCAACTGTCTTCCTTTGGTTTGTGCATAGGCTGATGCTGATAGCTTTTACATGGCTTGCAATGGTCGACAATTCAACTCGATAGAGGAAGATGTATGCCAGCTGGTGTATGTGGAGAGGGCTGAAGTCTTCAAATCAGAAGATGTGAGTTTCCTTTTCTGATATTTTTACAAGTGGTTTAATAGGATTATCTGGGAGTGGACAGGGCAGGTAGGTCTGTGGGCCTGGAGGATACTTACTTGCATAAACCCAATTCTGCCTTTGATTGTTGAACTAATGGGGCTTAGTCCTAATAAGCAATCACTGAAAATTCTCCAGATCCAAACTTTTCATTCTTGCAGTAGATATTACTGATTCCCAAAATTGGGCCTAGTGCAGATAAATTTACCATGTCACGTCTGTGCTTTTGAGGCAGTTGGAATCAATGTTGGGCCTACTAGAGCTAAGCAAAGGATTTCCCCAAACTAATTAATTTCTTTTCGTATTTATAAACTGGTATCTTTACAGTGATGCTTCACCCTCATCCTTATTCCAACACAGAGAGGTGTTACAAGTTAATTGCTCTGCTTTAGCTTCCCCCTAGGGATCATTAAGTGACTTGTGCATGATCACAGATTGTACCAGAACTGGGAGTAGAACTGAGGGCCTCGCTCCTAGTCATATCTCTGGCATAGCTTGTCTCAGATGTTTAGAAGTCATTGAAATGTCCTGCCCTGCATCTAACTGGGTATTAGTTTTGCACTGTCATGGGTAAGACGAATAATCAAAAATAGTGAATGAGATTAACCACTGTTAATTTTTTTGTCTGCATTTCATCTTACTGGAATATTAAACAGTTTATTTACCCTACTGCTGGGGCTAGGGAGTAAGAAGTTGTGTAGCAAAATATAACTTACCTGAAGAATATGGTGTGTGCAGCAATAAGCTTGTGCACCTCTTCTTGTGAAGGGAGCCAGCCTTCCCGTAATGGATCTGACGGAGCTTCCAAAGTGCACAGTGTGCCTGGAAAGAATGGATGAGTCTGTGAACGGGATCCTTACTACGGTGTGTAACCACAGTTTTCACAGCCAGTGTCTGCAGCGCTGGGAAGACACCACGTAAGAGGCTTTTTATTCCCCTGATTCAAAGTGGTGTGTTTAAGAAGGTGTGGTCGAGCTCTTGTCTATATTGATGGGACCAGCTCGTTGTCTCTAATGAGGGGATGAGAGCTGCTTCAAGTGATCTTCACCTTCTCTGTTAGGAGTTGCAGAAGATAACTGTCCTTGGCTAGGACAGTTGGATAAAGCTCCCTCTGGCTCCTCAAGGCCTGAGCTTGTTGCAGAGCATCCGGAAGAACTAAAAATACTTAGGACAGAGATGTCAGTTATCACTGTTTCAGACACAGAGGCCCCATAGTTTGTTCACTTTTATATGGCTCAGCTTCTTATCTACATTTGACCAGTGTCCGCTCTGGTGACATGTGGATAACTTGAGGCTGTAGGAGAAGTGTTGTGCCATAGATGTCTATCTTTGATGTTTCCAATACTCTGCTCTCAGGCCATTGCAATCTAAATTAGACATTACAGTAACAACAAAGAATTGGGCCTGCTCTCTAAAGAGAGTCCAAAGAGAGTTCTTTGCTGTAATGCTAAGCAAAGGGGTCTCAAGCCGATAAGGTTTCCTGGCAAATGGGAAATAGGAGGCTGCTTCAGTCATAGCACCAAGCTGGAAAAATCATGGCCTAGACTGAGACCAAGAGGGTATGCACTCATGTTTCTAACTGGGGAGTACAGGACCAAGCTTCAGACTCAGACCAATCCCTTGCATGCAGCACGGCTAGCTGCCATCAGTTCCACCATATAATAATCGCTGGGTTTTACCACATTGTTTTTTCTAGAGACTTTGTGTGTGAACTAAAGTTGTACTCAGCTGACTGTAGCTGAACCCCTTACTTACCAGTTTCTAAAAACACAAAGTGTGAGGGGAGAGTAGGACCTAAGAATAGAAGCATAAGATCATGACAGAATATTGGCCACTCCTTTGTTGCTCAATCCAGTGGAGGCTGAGGCTGTGATATGCCCAGGCAGTAATCGGAGATGGAGCGAGTCATAATTGTATTCCTTTACAGTTACTTATGCTGGCGTAGCATTTGAGGCTTTGCAGGGAATCTTGCACCCAAAATTAAGTGCCAAATTTATTAGATTTTCACTAAAGAGTGAAGTAGTTCATAACTGCCATTTATTATTATAAATGTGTGCTGTTGAAGATTTCCAAAGATCTTAAAGCTTGTGCATTCTTGCCTTTAATTACTTAACCTTAATCCTTTAGAGTATTTTTGCTCTTATTTGTTCTATGCATTCCATTTAGATAATGCAGTCAAATTCTTCAGAGAATCTCCCAATGAGAACAAAGTACTTTTATATATCATACATATTTTGCATTCCTCCTAGTAATTAGTTGCCATTTGTTGCAATAACTGGGATTGCCTGAAATGTTACAGAAAAGAAAGGCATAGTTCCTTTGTTACAGTTAACATTTCACACATACCCTTTTTTTGCAGGTCATGTTTCAGCAGAGTTGGTTGGTCTTGTCCAAAAGTGAATTCTTTACAGAATTTCATCAAGACTGAATTAATGACTAGTCTATAAAAATAGCTGGGTGCCTCATCAATCACAAAATCTTTAAATTTTAAAGAAAGGGGATTTTGCCAAAAACTGACTAATCCACGTCTCTTGGCTCCTTTTTAACCAAAACCTGGCACAGTATCAAAGCATAAAACATCTCATCAGTAAAACTAATACTCTTTCATTATTATTTTTTCTGACTACATTGTTTTGCTAGACTAGAATATCTTCAGTAATGCATACTCATAGGATCCTCCCATGAGAATGTGCAACTCTCCATGGAACCCTGTTGCAGGTTTTAAGGCAATCTATGTTCTGTCTCAAATTGAGTATCTAACTAGGAAGTGCCTGTAGGGAGAAGGGTAGCTTTTTCTTTCCTTGAAATGAAAATTCTACATGTAACCAACCAGGTGATTCTGAGACAGGCCTCCAACCAGGAGGTTGCTTCTCACTCTATCAGTGGTTCTCAAACCACCAGCCAACCCATGATGACAAAATGGGTATAGGAGGCAGTGGGGTAGGGATCTAGCTGGGAGGGAGGATGCAGGAGGAGGCTGGGAGGTTCTGACCAGGAGGGATGGTGTAAGAGTGGGGTGAGGGTGTGGGGATCTGACTGGGAGGGAGGGGGAATGTAGGAGTGAGGTGGAGAGTCCAGGTGCAACGGAAGGTGCGGGGAGAGGACTGTGGGTATGGAGTCTGAGGGGGATGGGATGAAAAGATTTCTGGGGAAGAGGGGGATAGAAGGCGCTTGCCTGGCTTTGTGCCTTCCACTGCTCCCATGCATCTCCCACTGCTGCTCCCATTGGCCCTGATTTCAGCTAATGGGAGCAGCAGGGGAGATCCCAGGCAATCAGTTCCATGAGCTGCCATTCCTTTGACTGGCCCGACTTCCCCAGCTCACGCCTCCCACCGTCCCTACAGCAGCAAGCCGGTGCTGGTCCAACAACCTTGCAGCGGAGTGGGGGTGCTCAGGGCTAGAGCATCTGCACAAGCTCCCCACTGCAGGGAGGACGAGTTCCAAGCCCGTGGCCCATCTTCCAGACTGTCACAGACCACTAGTGATAACCTAGTTATTGACATAGTTCTTGATTCTCGCAAGAGCCACAGGCGGGATACAGACCTAAATCAAGATGCATTACAAATTTAAACATGAAATGTGAGATGGGTGATCTAGGGGGCTAGCCCCACTCCTGGTGTGTGAAAGTGCTAGCCTTGTGTTTTCCAGCTCTCTTCAGAGATCAAAATCATCATGATGATCAATTGAAGGAAGTACTAAATAAGCCAGTCCAAAATAACTGGATTGTTATAACCAGTCCAAAATAACTGTCCAGAAGTGTGGTGTTGGATGATTTTTCTTTTAATGCTGAGGACAAATGTCAGACATTTGTTAATTTGTATTGCATTTTCCATGGAAAAGACTTGAGTTCAGTTTAAGAATTCTATTTTACAGGAATAAATAATGCGAGAATTGCTGGCTTGTGTAGGAGGGAAGCAAATTTAGGTCAGACTAGTGAGGAAAAAGCCAAAAGAAGGCTTGTGGGGTTTTTTGGAGGGACTACCCCACAAAATCCCAGGGTGCCACATCTGTCTTCATGTCTAGTTAGCAACAAACTCCTCAGTTTTAGCAGTAACCATCAAGTTCCATGAATCTAACAGTGTTTGCTTGATTTTTATGGTTATAGGTGTCCTGTCTGCAGGTACTGCCAAACACCCGAGCCTGTGGAAGAAAATAAATGCTTTGAATGTGGAGTTCAAGAGGTAAGTTGGTGGGCTGGGAGATGGATCCAGATGTATTATTTTTCATCTCAATGGTGCTTTTTGTCATTTCCTAAATCCCTAATGCTGCTGTTAATCCATCTTCTGGCTGGATTAATGCACACACTTTGCATTGTGATGGGATGTTGTCCCACAAAGATATCCCAATGTGTGAAAAATCTTCCCAGGGCCTTTGAGAAGCATAGCAGATGTTCAGAGATTGCTTTCCATATTCTCACTTGTGTTTAAAGATCACTCTTCTGGCTGCCCTTGCATCTGATTTATTGAGACCTCTTTCAGTAGGCTTATACTGTATTTCTGCTGTTTTGCCATTAGTCTTCAAGGTGGTTCACAACATGCATACCATACGCTTTCAAAATGATCTGGATGACCTGTAGAATTGGACTGAAATAGGATGAAATTTAGTAAGGACAAATGCAAAGTATTCCACTTAGGAAGGAACAATCAGTTTTACACTTTGGGTACATCTAGATTACACACTTTTTTTCTAAAGTTTTTGAAAGGTTCTTTCAAAAGATTGTCTAGAGCCGTAGTCACAAATCCATCGACCGCGAAGCATTCGGGCACCCCCTCATCCCCATTTTCCTCCTACCCCCGAGAAGCCCCACTAACTACATCTAGTGTAGTGCTGGCTTCCTGCGGGGTAGTCCTGTCTGAAGCCCACGTCACTTCCGAGGGTTCCAGAAGTGCGTGGGCTGCTCCCCTACCACAGTTCTGTTGCGTGCTGGGGGAGGGGGCATCGGGCCTGGAGCAGCTTCCCTGGCGCTTCTGTGCGCCACTGGTGCCGGAGGGGTGAGTCGAGCATGGGTTTCTCTGTGCCGCGGGAGCGGGGGGTGGCCCTGGGGTTTGGCCGTGCTGCGGGGGGTCAGTTTGGCCCTGGGGCAGGCGCCTGCGGGGGTTTGGCTGCGCTGCAGGAGGCACGTGCCGGCTTCCTCAGGGGCGTGCGGGGGAGAATCCTGGGAGGAGGCGATAGCAGGAGACCCTCTGTCGCCACTCCCCTCCTCCCCCCTTTCCTATCCCCTCTCTCCAGCTCCCTGTCCCCCCCCCCCCCCCCAGCCGCAGAAACCTTCCCCCTGGTACCCTGTCCAAACAGGTTCCCTGCCCATCTCATAAATAAAGAAAATGCAGAAACTTTTTGTGTTTGACATAGTATTTTATTTGAAAAGGAAGCCTGGCCAACAAACCCCCAATTGGGGCCAAGCCCCCATCCAGCCACAGCATTGTGACACTCCTGCACTCCCCTTTCTCCCAGACTCTACATCTCAGCCTATCCTACACCGGAACCCCCTGCCCTCACATACCCCAACCCAAATTCCTGAACCCTCTCATCAAGAAGTCTGTGGCTTGCTTAGTACCAAATATTGAAATCCTTCCTTTGTGTTCAACCAAGTTCTATCAAGAAGAGGAAACACAAGTGTCAAACTACTGTTCCATATTTAAAAGACTGTAAGTTACTTAGAGCCGGGACAGCAGTGTTACTAATCTCAGTTTTCAGAGAAAGAGAAGGGATTTCTGGAGAGAACTGTCAAACTGTAAAGGGACTGAAATCAAAAGGCAAATGAAGAGCACCTAACATTTATTATTAAAAACCCCTCCTGATATCAAACCAATCTTAAGATTTTGGGGGCCTGACTCAAGCTGCATCTAGACTGGCATGATTTTGCGCAAATACTTTTAATGGAAGTCTTTTGTGCAAAAGCATCCGTGCCAGTGTAGACGCTCTCTTGCGCAAGAAAGCTCCGATGGCCATTTTAGCCATCAGGCTTTCTTGCGCAAGAAATTAACTTGGCAGTCTACAATGGCCCTCTTGTGCAAGAATACTTGCACAAGAGGGCTTATCCCTGAGCGGGAGAGTTGGAGTATTTGTGCAAGAACCACTGATTTTATACAGTACAAAGTCAGTGTTCTTGCGCAAATACTCGTGGCCAGTCTAGATAGGTAGCAAGATTTTGCGCAAAAGCAGCCACTTTTGAGCAAAATCATGCCAGTCTGGATGCAGCCCAGGAGTTTTTCAGGATTCCGGAGATACCCCAGAAAAACTCTTCTGCATCCAGGGATGCGTTTGTTCTTCTGCTTCTTTTCGTGGAAGAGCAAACATGATCTTTCGGTAACCCCTATATTCCTCTTTCCACGAGGAATAAGGTGGCTTCCAAAAGAAGGGGGTTTTCTGACATTTGGTCAAGTCTAGACAAGCCAAAGGTTGGAAAAACTTCTTCCTACTGTTTCCAAAAAAAAAAAAAAACCAACCCTGTTTGCTGTCAAGAATGCTTTTTTTTTTTTCAAAAGAGCCCTTTTTGGGGAAAAAAGGCATTCTTCCTTGTAAAAAGAGGTTGTTGCTGTCAGAAAAACCGCCGTATTCTTTTGATTTAATTTAGAAAACACGGCAGCAGTCTAGACAGAGGTGAAGTTTTTTCGAAAAAACACTTTTTATGAAAAAACCCTGTAGTCTAGACAGCCATACAAAATGGGAAGTGACTGTTTAGGCGGAAAAACTGCCGTATTCTTTTGATTTAATTTAGAAAACACGGCAGCAGTCTAGACAGAGGTGAAGTTTTTTCGAAAAAACACTTTTTATGAAAAAACCCTGTAGTCTAGACAGCCATACAAAATGGGAAGTGACTGTTTAGGAAGGAGTACTGCAGAAAGGGATCTAGGGGTCATAGTGGACCACAAGCTAAATGAGTCACCAGCGTGACACTTTCAAAAAGAGCAAGCATCATTCTGGAATGCATTAGCAAGAGTGTTGCAAGATACAAGAAGGAATTTTTCCACTCTATTATGGGCTAATTAGGCCTTACCTGGAGTTCGGTGTCCTGTTTTGGGCATCTCATTTCAGGAAAGATGTGAACAAACTGAAAAAGTCCAGAAAAGAGTAAAAAAATAAGAAGATTGACAGAATTGGGTTTTAGTCTGGGAAAGGGAAGCCTGAGAGCGGGCACAATAATAACTTTCAAGCAAATAAAAGATTGTTACAAGGAGGAGAGAAAAGAATTGTTCTTAACTTTTGAGGATATGACACAGGATGCCAGTGATTAACTGTTAATTATCATTCTTACTGGGTGATGCTTGCCCATTAACCACTGTCCCAGCCAGCTTAAGCGGCCCTTCACCCCATATCCCTGAGCAATTAGCGGGTTAGAAATCTTGTTTAATCAGTTAACCGGTTAAATAGGACAAGAAGCAATGGGCTTAAATTGCAGCAAGTGAGATTTTAGGTTGGACATTAGAAAAGCTTCTTAGCTGTCAGGGTGATTAAACACTAGAATCAATTGCCTAGAGAGGTTGTGGAATCTCCACCATTGGAGATTGAGAGTAGGTTAGACAAAAACATACTAGGATTTATCTAGGTCAGGGGTGGGCAATAATTTTCACAGGGGGCCACTTAATGAATTTTGGTATATGGTCATGGGCCAGCTCACAACCATCCCCTCCCTCCCAGAAAGGGCTGGGCCTGGGGAGGAAGGGGTGGGGTTGGGAACTAGCCTGCCCCCACAGTTCTCTGGGGCTGGAGGCTTTCAAAGTAAACAGAGCAAAAGGCTCACAGCTCCTGGCACTGCAGCTGGCCTGGAGTTGCTACAGCTATTTAAAAAGGTCATGGTTCAGGCCCCCAGCAGCCATTTAAATAGGATCCCACCTTGCCTGGAAATTTGGTGGCATGGGCAGCAGGATATAAATAGAAAGCAGCCAGATGCAGTCAAGGGCCAGATCAAAGTGTTAGGCAGGCCAGATCTGTCCCTTGGGCCACATCTTGCCCAGCCCTGATCTAGGTGGAGCTCAGCCCTGCCATGAGTGCAGGGTACTTGATTAGATGACCTGTTAAAATCTCCTCTGGTCTTTTGATTTTGTAGGTAGGTGGTTGGAAATACAAGCAGTAGAGTGTGCTGTTGAGGGAGGATGCCAGCAGTTGTCCTTGCTACGTGCTTTCTCCAACCTCTGAAGCTACATTTGCACCCTTTTCATGTTGACAAGTGGTACTTTTACATATGTGCAAAATCTCTTTCTGTTGACAGAACCTTTGGATTTGTTTAATATGTGGGCACATTGGATGTGGCCGCTATGTGAGCCGGCACGCTTACAAGCACTTTGAGGAGACTCAACACACTTATGCAATGCAGTTAACCAACCACAGAGTTTGGGATTATGCTGGAGGTAAACCTCTCCCTTCTGCTCTTCCTAGTAACCTTGCTTGCTTGGACATCATTCTCTGAATCTTTCTGCTGTGGCATTTTTAACTCTGTCCTAGTCATAAACTTAACATGAAGAGAGTTGTTACAGTGCTAATATCTCATCTTCCAGGACCATCTCTCTTCTCTAGTAAAGCCATTGCAGATGCATCAGAGAGGCCATAAACCCATAATGCCATGGGGCAGCTCTGTAGCATTGGTGAAATTGAGAACTTCCTGTCTGCTGATCATTTCACCCTGACTTATGACTGAACTTTTATAACTATCTTAGCTAGCATTGGTGCAGATTCTGTGAAATGTGGGTAATACATGAAGTAATTACTAACCTCTTTGCCTCGGTATTACTCTGTGGTATTAAATTGCATGATTAACTGTGCTGTCTAAAGTGTTTCCTGTAGTTCCAGTCAAGTTGTAACACCTGAGACTTCTCAAATTGGAACTTTTTGATTTTGTTGCTTTTTTTCTCTTTAGATAATTACGTCCATCGACTGGTTGCAAGTAAAACTGATGGGAAGATAGTTCAGTATGAGTGTGAGGGGGATATGTGTCAGGAGGAAAAGATTGATTCCTTACAGCTAGAGGTAAATATTTTAGCTTCCTTCAGAGACACTTGTGATGGGCTATGTAAACATCAACTCTAAACAGGACTAAAAAGTCTCTTGAATATTATTGAAAATGTTTAAGGGTTTTGTGTTCCTGTTTCATCCTGCACTTTATATCCTAATTTGGGGTTTGTGAGTGTGTAGCTAAGCAAATGATCAGATTATTTTGCAGATCCTCGTTATAAATTTATAAAGCTCATGATACCATCTGCATGTTTTGTTAGTCTTTAAAATGCTACCAGACTCTTTGTTTATAAATTTACTAGACAGTCAAATAGGAAAAGATGAGATGTAAAGCAGTAAGTCCTTGTTTAAGCACCAAAATAGCATTGGTAATAAGCATTCCTGGTCAGAACTCAGGTATTTTGGGCTGATATTTATTGATCTCTGAAGATCAGTTCTTCCCCCAAAGGTACAGATCATATGAGATTTGCACTTCACCTTTTTTTTTTTTTTTTTAAAGTTTTAAATGCCTCTTCAATTGTAGAGTTAAACCTGAAAATGGAAAACACAGCGACTGACTCAGGGATCTTTCAGTACATGGTTCCCAAACTTTTTTTTATGCCGGCAAACCCATTCCCAAACTCTTTTGATGGAATGGCAACATTTCATTTGCATATTCATTATGTAAATTCAGAATATTCATGTATTCAGATACAAAGTTACTTGACTGCCTAGCCCGAACCCAGCCTTTGGACCACAGTGCCTAACATCCTTTGAACCCTCCCCTCCCATTCCTATGCCCCATGCCCTTTGACCCTTTAACCTCTGACTCCTACAGCCCATGCCAACACCTTCTTGCCCTGTGATCCCAACACCCCCTGACCCTCCCACCCCATCACTCCGCAGAATGAGGCTGCCCCCCTGGGGAGCATGGATATTATTGCTGCATGAACAGGGGGAGTGACTGTTGGCGGCATGTGCGCTCCCTCCTCCTTTGCACCCCCTCTTTA